GCTTTCTTCTGTGTTACCTCAGAGTGGATTTGAAATTCCAACCTTCCTGTTAGTAGCCAAGCACTTAATCATCTGTGGCAGCTTGGCACACGCTCGTGTGGGCATGCCCTAGTCACTTATGAGTAAATTAAAGAATGACAGAGTCTCTGTGACAAAGAGCCCCCAAGTGGAGATGTTAAAGAAACACCATGACTGCACCTGGGGACAGGGACCGAGGGAGAGCCTTCCCTGAGAGGCGCGTCCTGACTTCTCACTCCCAGCCTCCTGGACCGTGAGAACAGAAATGCCTGTACTTTCAGCCACCACGGGCTGGGTTTCTGTCACAGAGGCACCAGGAGGTAGGAGGGTAGACCGCCTGTTGCAGTTTGCATGGCTGTTCTCAGGCAGAGTTGAGGGGTGAATACCCCCTTTGAAGGGGCAGGAGCTCCCAGGCCCCCACCATCCAGATACGCCCCCCCTACACACACACACACAGAGGAGGGTGGACGTGTGCTCGTAAGCATAGTGGTCCTGCGAGATGCCAGCATTCTGAGAGCATGTGCTCCAGACCCCATGGTTGGGCAGTGAGTTCCTGAGAATCCCCCTGGAACCCCCCCTCCCCCCGATGACTCCAGGAAAGAGCCTGCCATGGAATAGCTGCAGGTGCGGTAGGGTGAGGGTCACTGTCCCCAGGGGCTGGAGGGCAAGGAGGGAACCCAGAGCTCCGGTCCTGTTACCCAGGGGTCAGGTCTTTTCAGAGAGAACTGCCCTAGCTCTGTCTTCTGCTGCCCTCCCATTGGCTGAGCCCTGTAGAGCCAGCCAATCAGGGCGCCCCATGATGCAGCCTAAGGCTGGTTCCTGGGCAGAGAAGGGGTCATCCATGAGTCTAGGGTAGCTGACTGGGACACCTGCCTGAAGATCAAGGGTGGGGGTGGTCTGAGGAGGCACAAGTTCTAACAGTTCCTTCAGGTGATCTTTGAGTAACAAGGAGGCTTCTCACCCCATGGTCACCTGTGGGCTTCTCTTGCCGTAACCACCTGAAGTCCCTGCTGGAGATGGAACTATGACCTGCAGACCTGTCCCTGAGGTGTGATCGCGTTTGCACATAGGTTTCTTTGTGGTGTGGATGAGGCCGTGGCACCACTGAGTTGTTACAGGAGCTGATTGGGCACTGACAAGGTAGATACCACGTGAGAGTTGTCAGCAGGCAACAGACCACAAGGAGGGAATCGTGCACCTGCGTCCCTCAGGTGGACTTTACGCCACCTGCAGTATGTGCGAATTAATATCTGCTCCTTAAAACAGCCCTGTCAGCTCTGGGGGGGTTTCCGTCACAGCAGGACTTGTGACTGAAGCTGTCCGTGGCCCCACCTCCCTGGACCCATGCACCCTTGCCTGAGGCCAAGGCAAGGGGTCCCACATGCTAGCCAAGTGCAGTCCGTGTGTGTGTTAGTGTGTGCTCTGTGTGGTATGTTTTATCAGTGTGTGTTGTGTATTCTGCATGTGGTACATGTCTGTATTAGTGGGTGTTCCATGTGTTGTGTTGTCTGTTCTCTGTGAGTGTGGTATGTGTCTGTGTGTGAATGTGTGGGTGATATGTATTCTATTTCTGTGTTCTGTGTGTTGTGTGTTCTCTCTGTGTGTGTGGTATGTGTCTGTATCAGTGTGTGTTGTGTATTCTGCATGTCATATGTGTCTGTATTGGTGGGTGTTCCATGTGTTGTGTTGTCTGTTCTCTGTGTGTGGGGTATATGTCTATATCAGTGTGTGTTCTGTGTGTTGTATTGTCTGGTCTTTGTGTGTGTGGTATGTGTCTGGATCTGTGTGTAGTCCATATGTTGTGTTGTGAGTTCTTTTTGTGGTACATGTCTGTACCAGTGTGTGTTCTCCATGTGTGCGGTACGTGTCTGTATCTGTGTGTAGTCCATATGTGTGTTTTCAGTTCTGTGTGTGGTGTGTGTGTGTGTACTACTGTGTGTTTTCTGTTTTGTGTTGTGTATTCTGTGTGTGGTACATGTCTGTACCAGCGTGTATTCTCTGTGTGTGCGGTACGTGTCTGTGTCTGTGTGTAGTCCATATGTTGTGTTTTGAGTTCTGTGTGTGTGTGTGTGGCACGTGTCTATACCAGCATGTGCTCTGTGTGTTGTGCTTTGAGTTCTGTGTGTGATGTGTGTCTGTCCCCATGTGTTCTCCGTGTGTTGTGTTGTGAGTTCTGTGTGTGATACGTGTCTGTCCCCATGTGTTCTCCATGTGTTGTGTTGTGAGTTCCATGTGTGTGTGGTACGTGTCTGCACCAGTGTGTGTTCTCTGTGTGTGCGGGTACGTGTTTATACCTGTGTGTGTTACGTGTGTTGTGCTGTGAGTTCTGTGTGTGTGTGTGTGTGTTTGGAGCTGGGCAGCTTTCCTAGGGCTGTGGACTCCTGGCTCTGCACCCCTGGCCCACTGCAGTCCCAGCTAAGTGCCTGCCCTCTAGTGTTTGCTTGTCCCTCCTGCAGGTTGGGAGAGCCCTCCTTCCCAGTCTGAAGACTGTTTGCCCTCCTGCAGGGACCTGAGCTGGAAGTGCTGTTGTTACCCTGGGCTGCCTTCCACCTCCTGGACGTCCTCCTAGCTTCCTCTTTGCCTCCAGCAGCCACTGCCCCAGAAGCTGCCTGGGGTCCTCCTTTGTTTCCTTGTATCACCCTGGATTTCTGTCTCCAGCCCAGAAGGGATGTGAGAGTTCCCAAGACTACACAGCCAGCATTGCCTGGGTCATTTCTGCTCCAGGCTTTTAGACCAAGCACTCCAGGTCCTCAGTCTCTCTCCACTCCTGGTGGAAAGAAACCCAGGGTAGGAGGGTTTGGGGTGCGCCCAGGTGGACCATTGCTCTGATCCCCCTTGGAATTCTCACATTTGTGATTCTTTGTCTAAGAGTCCGTCCACTTATTCACGACATAAGTTGTGCTCTGGCCCCCGTGCCCAGAGCTCCCTCAGTTGCCTGGCCTCTGATCTTTCAAGGGTTCTCCCCAGTTGCTTCTGATTTAGTTGCAGTTCCTGTGTGCTTTCCAAGCTGCCGCTGTCTTGTCCGACTGCCTTGAAGACTTCACAGTTGACTCCACTGGGCAGCAGATTTGAGCTCTTACCGTCTGCAAATCCCCTTTGCCACTGCCCTCCAAACCCAGCCGACTGCCACTGAGTTGATTTTGTGTCGCAGTGACACTATAGGACAATGTCACGCTGCACATAGGGGTTCAGTGGTGTCACCTTCAGGGAAGCAGCCTGCCACATCTCTGCCACAAAGTGACTGCTGTGTTCCAACTGCCCAACGTTCGGTTAGCGGCTGAGTTCTTAACCACTGTGCTGCTAGAGACCTGCCTTGCAAAGCACCTGGTCACCACGGAAGTCTCAGAAAATTCAGAGAAACAAAGAGAAAAGAGTAAAACCACCCACAATGCAAGCCCACTTAGGTCAGGTTTAGGGGAAAGCTGTGGCTTCTTTGCAAAGATTCTTAACACCTGCAGTGAATTCTGACACCAGCCACCCAGAGTTAGGGGAGATTCCAATGGTGAAGCACACAGTCCCCATAAAACTGCTCCACCTCAGACTCCAGCCTCAAGCTCGGGGGCCCAGGCCACCCATATGTCTGACCTACTGACTGCACCTCGGGGTGTCCCCGTTCCCTGCCAGGGTTCCACAGTTTGCTACCGC